AAAAATTATATTATTTTAAAAAGGGTTTGCACCTGGAAATACTTTCTATTATCTTGATGCATAACCCGAACAACTTGGCTAGCATCTTAGATCTTGCTCATACCCATAAGCAGGGTACCAATTTTGCATTAAATATCGACCCTGGTCATCCTGAGAAGTCAAAAGACTATAATAAGGAAATCGAGCAACTAACTAAGCAGTTAGAACAAATGATATAAATTATACTACCATTGCTGCAGCACTTACTGCGCAAGCTGCACTAACAGAGACACATGAGTCTAGAGTACCTCGTCGAAGAATAAATCTCCAGAGAAATCCTGGTATTACTTGTTTTCGGTATGGTGAACGTAGTCACTATGCTATGGATTGTAGTCTGGAACCATTACCGTTCAGAGATCAATGCGCCAAAATTATAGACGACCTAATAATACAAATCGGTATAGAGATATTAATTTTGTCGAAGTCAAATATGAGTGTGAAATAGAGGAGGAGGAGATTTACATGGCTTGACATTAGCCATATAGTACTAATCGGAAGAAGTAAAAAGAAAAACAAGCAGGAACGTGTCTGCATAAAATTGCACCCAAACCATCTATCGCAGTACCGATGAATATAAAAAATAATCCTACCCCTCCATCTCTTAAATGAATCGTTAATAAATGATTACCTTCTATAATTGATAAACTCATCCCGTACAACATATCAGAGGATATAATGAATATGCAAGCACGTGCTACTTATAACCAGTTGTTGTAGTATCCAAATTAATACCATAACTTAGCCAAAGTGGTAAGAAGAACAAAAGCCCCTAGCACAGAGGCTAATTATTTGCAAACTAGTGACAAGCAAAAAACTGTTGCAATGCATTGTCATGTGTGTATTAAAGGCAACCTAGTAGTTGCTATCTTGAATTCTGGTGCTGTTGTTAGTATTGTTACTAATTGGTTAATGGATAAACTTGGGCTAGTAATTGATAAGCCTTCTAATACAGTGGTAAAAATGGCAAATAGAAGTTGAACCAAAGCCTTAGGGATAGTCAGCGATGTTTGCATAATTCTACAAGGTATTATGATACCTATTGATTTACAAGTCATTGAGTCTCTAGAGGAAACGTTATTATTGGGGATGGATTGATTCAATAAGTTTAAAGCTAAGTTAGACTTTGATAAGAAAATGTTGCATATACGATATTTAGATAGACAGGCTACCATTAATGCAATACATGTAAGTAACAGGGTCATTGAACAGGAATTGGAAGAGTTTACAGACAAGGAAGAGTGGATCGATGAGCTTGAAAATGATAGCAAAGAGATTCACAAGGTTTTCAATACTGACGAATGTGTTTCAGAAGAAGATGAATTATATTATAACCCATGGACAGATTAGAATCCAGCAGTATATTTAACTGAATCATTGGAAAGTTGTCCAGAATGGGAAGAAATTCTGTTTAACATCAATAATGACCTTTTGGTAAATTGGCAATAGCAGGCATAGGATTTATTGCAAAAAAAATATCAATATTTTTGCAGAAAAAATTAGTAAAGTGGGTCAAATGGTCAGAATTGGGTATACTAACCTAATATAGCACGAAATTAATACAGGTAGTGCTTTTAGCGGAATTCAGCTAAAAACTGGGGTTAAACCATAAAAAGGAAGCAAGAGAAAGTATAAGCTGGGGAATCAACTGTAGACAATAGTCTTGACCCAGTACTACATACTTCCAGAATAGGACAAACTGAGCTACAAGTAGTGGGCTTCGGTCCGTGCATACCAAATTAAGTGCAGGCTAGATGTGGTATAAAGTGAGAATACTGCGGGCTCTGCCAAGTTTACCTCGAGGATAAAGTAGTCCTAGGTCGGTATATATGAAATAGTGCATCAAGAAGAACTAGTTTGTAAAAACCAGAAAAAAGTTGCCAATAGATATGGGCCTCAGAGTACATAGGTGCAGAGGGTTTAAAATAGGTAACCCCTAGCTGGGTTGCAGGTATGCCAAATAGTGTAGAATCTAAAAATAGGCAGACTACTTAAATAGGTGCTCAAAAGGTGCAGATATGGCTAAATATACTCTTCAAATATGTATAATGATGTTCTAACTCAATAAAGCATAATACGACCAAGAGGTCACCTTAATACCAATAAAAAAAAAAATAACTACCATTAGATAATTAATTATAATATTTTCACTCTAAATGAAATACAATTTAAAAAAAAAAATTATTATTAATAATTGTTTTATAATGTTTTATAACTACCATTACTACCATTAGATAATTAATTATATATCTCATATTCTGTAGAATACTCATCATTAGAGTCATATTCTGGAAGATTCCAAATATTATTACCAGCTTGTTTATTATTGGTTATTTGATTTGTGGAATCTTGAATATATGGATATCTTTGTGAAATATGTTAAGTTAATGCGTAAGATTTTGTAAACTTTCGATTACAATGCACACACTACCAACGTATTTTGAAAGAAAAAGATATTAAAAAGAAGAGAAAAAAATGAGAGATAATAGGAAAACAATAAGATGATAACAAAAGTAAGTGAAAACGAAGTGAAGGTAAGTCTAAGTTAACGAAAAAATAAGAAAGATCGATATAGAAAATCTAAATTTAAAATATAAAAATAAATAAGAAGA